AGGCTGGGGCCACGGTGTGGAAGCTGACCCCGAGTGTGTGCAGGCCAGGAAAGAGGACAGGACCCATTCTGTAGAGGAAGCACAGCCAGCCAGGGAGGGCGCCCCGCAGATGGCCACCGGCGGTCCAGAGCGTGCTTGGACACCAGCCATGGGCAGCCCAGGGTGTGAGCCTCAGATGACAGGCAGCCCTCGTCTGTGAACAGGGATGGCACAGGGTGCCACCCACTCCCGTGACTCACCTGTCAGGGCAAGGGGTACCTAGGCCCCAGGAGGGCAGCTGGGGAAACTGAGGCTTGCAGGTTGAGCCCCAGTGGCCCTTCGGTGAGGGCATCCACACAGGGAGCCAGCAGGGGTCCAGGGAGGGACGGTGGCCTGGGGAAACACCACACTCGGACCCAGGTGTGTGGGGCAGGAATCCTGAAGAGTGCCATCCACCCATGTTCGTGGGAAAGAGGCCAACTGGGGTGGCAGGGGGTCCTGAGGTTTTGCTCCCTCCAGGGGTCAGCAGGGGCCGACCAAAGGGAGTGTCCAGGCGGAATCATGAAGCCGCAGCGCAGGCTCCTGTTGCCTGAGACCTGCCCTGTGCCCTGCAGGGTCCCTGGGGACATTGACGAGGTGAATGCTCTGAAGCTGCAGGTGGACCAGTGGAAGGTGCCCACAGGCCTGGAAGACCCCCACGTCCCTGGTGAGTCCTCCACACTGCAGCAGAGCAGGCCTGGCTCAGGCTGTGGCTAAGGGGTCCCTGTCTCCACCTCTGGAGTCCACCCTGATGGTGCCTCCTGCCCAGTGATATGATGGCTTCCCAGTCACTTCCAGCACATCCTCCCTCCTGCCCATTGCACAGTCTCCCCAGGTGTCTGCGGGGCACCCCGAGGCCTGCCTGTGCAATGCAGCCCACTACAAACCTGCTGCTCTCTGCCCTGTGCCCTTCCGCCATGCCTGCTGTGCAGACACCCCTCAGGGCAGCTGCACAGACTCCTGAGAAAAACCCTGTTTCGCACGTCTCTGCTGGCGTGACCCCCATGCCTCCAGGATCAAGTTCAGGCCCCTAGGAGCTGAAAGGCCCTCTGGGGTCCGGGCCCAGCCGGGTCAGATGGGCCCTGTCCAGAACGGGCCGGCCCTCCCAGCCTGTCACCCACAGCACCCCTCGTGACCGCCACAGAACCCCACTTGGTCCAGGGGTGCCCGCCGAGCAGGCCCGCTAAGCCCCGTGCTGTGTCCCCAGCATCCCTGCTGAAGCTGTGGTACCGGGAGCTGGAGGAGCCCCTGATCCCGCACGAGTTCTACGAGCAGTGCATCGCGCACTACGACAGCCCCGAGGCGGCGGTGGCCGTGGTGCACGCGCTGCCCCGCATCAACCGCATGGTGCTCTGCTACCTCATCCGCTTCCTGCAGGTACTTCCCTCCGCGGGGGTCCCCGCCGCTTCCCCCTCCCCGCCCCGCCCCCGCCCCTCCGCGCCCACCCTCGCTCCTCCTCCAGGTCTTCGTGCAGCCGGCCAACGTCGCGGTCACCAAGATGGATGTAAGCAACCTGGCCATGGTGATGGCGCCCAACTGCCTGCGCTGCCAGTCCGACGACCCGCGCGTTATCTTCGAGAACACCCGCAAGGAGATGTCCTTCCTGCGCGTGCTCATCCAGCACCTGGACACCAGCTTCATGGAGGGTGTGCTGTAGTGGGGGCGCCCGGGGACAGGAGGGACGTCCTGCCGCCCTGAGCCAGGCCGAACCCCGCACTCGCTCTCCCGGCAGAGGGGCCAGAATCGCCCGGCCCAGCCCAGCCCTGCAACCCCCTCCCCTCCCCCAGGCCCCTGGCCCCGGCGCTCCCCACGTCTTCTGCCTGGTCTGAGGGTGCAGCCAGGGCAGAGCAGCGGCTGGGAGGGCGCCTCTGGCCCCCCACCTCACGGCCAGTTCCCGCGGGCACCGCCTCGCCCTCCGCTGGCCCCAGGTCAGCTCCGAGAAAGTGCCTTCAGTGCCTTCAGTGTCCTGGAGCCGAGCGACACTGCCCTCCGTGGGGCCGGGCTGCCTCCCCGTGGCTCCTGCGCGTCCTGGCCTGGGCCTTGCCCAGCCGCCCCCGTCTCCTTCCCTTCCTCCGGTCCTTGTCCTGACCTGCAGCTCTTCCCAGCCCCGGGGGAGCTTCCCGACCTGTCCCGCCGCCTCTCCCTTCCTCGGCCCGTGGTCCCCAGCTGGTGACTGCTCAGGAGTTTGGGGGCTCCAGGGCAGTGGGCCCGGGGTCTGGCAGGCTCTCGGTGGGTGGGGTGGGGGCCCCCAAACCAAAGTCCTCTGGGGTAGGGGGCAGGGCTGGGCAGGCATTCTGGGGGCAGGGTGGGGGAGGGGCGAGAGTATTTTTTCTTCGTGTAACTATAAATCCAGAATCTATCCTGCATCGCAGCCCACCTGTGTATAGAGATATAAATAGAGGGAAAGATATAAGAACTAAATTTGCTAATGACATAGTTTTAACCTAAATGCTATTTATCTCTGAGCCGTCCCTGTCCTCCGTGCAGAGGAAGTTGAGGTCATTCCTTCTTTTCTTCTCCGATCTTTTTTCTTGGCTTCTGACCAAAAACCAAGCTCTACCCCATCCCCGTCCCCGACCTGCAGCTGACGAGCGTGAAGACGCCGCGCCCGGGACTGCCTGTTCTCGAGGCCAGAGCTGCTGGGGGACCGAGTTTGTACATTTTCCATTTTGGGAATTTTGAGTTCCAATTGTTGTAAAACTTAATTTCTCCCCAGTTTTTATATATATATTTTTTAGAGTTCCGTTTTTATTTATTAAAAACAAAAGGCCCAGCCCTGCCGAGGCCCGGGCGGCGTCCTCAGTCGGGTGGCCCCGGGGCCTTTGCGGTCCCGCCCGGCTCAGACGCTCGCCCAGACGCATGGACCCGAGAGGCGACGACGCGAGTGAATAAAGTGCACATGGACCCTGCGCCGTCTCCTGTTCCTTGTGGGCGCGGCCGGGGGCGGGAAGAGACGCGGGGCTGACCGGAAGGGGCGGGGCTGGGCACGCCGCTCGGAAGGCCAGGGCGGGCGAGTCCCCGAGGCCAGAGGGAAAGGGAAGAGCGCCGGGCCCGGGTCGCGGAGGCGGGCGCCGCCGGAACGCGAGGCACGGGGCTGCTGCGGGCGGGCGCGAGTTCGCGCGGCACCGCCCTCGGCGTGACCTGCTGGCCGCTTCCGGCGCGGGAGGAGAATGTGGTCGCAGTGCGGGGCGCTTCGGAGCCTGGCCTTGGCGCGGTCGCGGGGAGCCCGGCCCTGCAGCGGGGATGGGGGCGTTTCCTACACGCAGGGGCAGAGGCCCGAACCCCAGACCCGCGAGTATTTCTACTACGTGGACCACCAGGGCCAGGTGGGAGGAGGCAAGGCCGTTGCTCGAGGGGCGGGGCCGGGAGAGGTGCCTGTGGGCGGGGCCGGAGGCGAGGGTTTCTGTGGGCGCGGCAGTTGCCAGAGGGGCGGGGCCGAAGGGAAGTCCCACGTGGGTGGGCGGGGCCGGGGGGGTGGGCGACCTGGACTCGGCAGAGCTGGAGGGGCGCGCGCTGGAAAGACGGGAGCTGGGTTGGTCCGGCTGAGGCTCCTACACGGGCCGCGTCCCTGCTGCGTCGTGCAGCTCCGGACTTTGCCCTGCAAGCCCCTGCCAGGGAGACACCTGGGCCGCCCCGCATTTTTTTGGAAGCTCTGTCAAAGGCAGCGGCGTGTCCGGGAGGCAGCAAGCCAGGTAGTCTCCGCGGAGGAGGTGACACAACTGATTACAAACTTGAAAAGAGGGAAAACGTGCAGGAAAGACTTGACTGACCAGGGAGCAGAAGTGCGTATAGATGCGGAGAAGTCGGCAGGTCCCCCAGGTTTACCTTCCACGAGCCTCCCTGCATTCGGTGTGCACAGACAAGCAGGAAAAGTGGGCTCGGGCCGGTTCAGGACCTCCCGAGCTTCCCAGCCTCCCCCTGCACGCTGGGACTCATCATGGCCCGGCCCTCTGTTTGCAGCTTTTCCTGGATGATTCCAAAATGAAGAATTTCATCACCTGCTTCAAAGGTAATGTTGTGCCTTCCTCCTCAGCCCTTTCTTTCTCCCTTCGGGCAGCCCCGGATGGGCTCCCGACTCTGCCGATGGGCCCAGCGCACCAAGGAGTGGGCGTCCTGCGCTCAGGAGCCCCGCTGAGTGAGGCCAGGCGAACCTCTTGCCGCCGGCGCCTGCCTTCGGTGTGGTCCTGGGCCCGGCAGCCTTGGGAGCCCAGCGCGCTGAGCATCCGCGCCCTTCATCCCCCAGACCCGCAGTTCCTGGTCACCTTCTTCTCCCGCCTGAGACCCAACCGCAGCGGGCGCTACGAGGCCGCCTTCCCCTTCCTCTCGCCCTGCGGCAGAGAGCGCAACTTCCTGCGCTGCGAGGACCGGCCGGTGGTCTTCACGCACCTGCTGACCGCGGACCACAGGCCTCCGCGCCTCTCCTACTGCGGCGGTGGTGAGGCCCTGGCCGTGCCCTTCGAGCCGGCGCGCCTGCTGCCCCTGGCCGCCAACGGGCGCCTGTACCACCCGGCGCCGGAGCGTGCGGGCGGCGTCGGCCTGGTGCGCTCCGCCCTGGCCTTCGAGCTCAGCGCCTGCTTCGAGTACGGGCCTGGCGCGCCCGCGCTGCCCTCGCACGTGCGCTGGCAGGGCCGCCGCCTCGCCCTCACCATGGACCTCGCCCCGCTGCTGCTCGCGGCTCGGCCCCCCTGAGCGGGGCCACGGGAAAGGCAGGAGGCCGCGGGCGCCCCTCACCCCGCTCCCGCGGGACCCCACGCCCCGGAAAGCCCGCGCCACCCGCACTCGCGACAACCTAGTGCGCCTGCGCGCCCCGCCTCCCCATCCGGCGCTGTCCTTAGTGCTGCCGCGGCCCGGCCCTCCCGGACCCTCCGCTCCCCACGGCGCGCGCCCCCCGCGCACCCGACTCCGGCGCCCTCCGGATTGGCCCGCGCTGGAGACGTCAGGCCCAGGCGGCGGGCGCGGGACTCTGGTGCGCGTGCGCGAGCGTCCCCCGCCCCCTCCCAGCCCGGCCGCTGCTCGGACCGGGGCCGCCACCTGCACGGCGGGGGAGCCGCTCGCCGCGGGAGCGTCAGGTGAGAGGACGCCCGGCCCAAGGTCACCAGACGTGGGGAGACTGGGGGTTCGGGGACCACCCTGGCTCTGACCCTGGTGCGCTCCGAGAAGGGCGTGGGTCTTGGAGGGGGATGGGCAACGCGGAGGCCACGCCCTCCCTGAGCCTGGCCGAAAACCGACCGGCGCTCGTGGGTAGCAGAGGAGACCGTGGGGGATACAGGCACCGGGTCGCAGTGCTGCAGAGGTGCGCAAGGGCCGCCCGGAGACCAGCTTGGGCCTCGCACTGTGCCCTAGGCGGCACAGGGCGTTCCATCCTCTTCCCTCCCCGCCTCCCACACAGAGGGGCGCCCAGGAGGCAGTTACAGTCGTCGCGGAATCCTGCGTGTGACACCCCGCCCCTGCCCAGCGGATTAGGGGGTGTCCTCTGGTAAAAGGATTTCTAGGCTTCTTCCAGCCTGGGGCCCTCATCCCTGCTCTGGCAGGCCTTTCTACACCAATCTGCATCTAGGGGGGGTCAGCGTGAGCAGCAGCGCCCTGAGATCTGAGGCCAAGAACCTTCTCCACTTGAGAAGCCTTCCTGCTGGAGGCTGACTGGGCCAGGCCTGGAGCCACGTACCAACCCTTTTTACCCAGGGAATGGATCCCAGGGGCCCAGATAATGCCCCCAACTTCTTGGGGTTCACACGCATCTTGAGACATCTGGGAACTGCCTCCGCCTGGGCCAGAGCTATCCATTAAAACTTTATTGCTGTGCTTATTTATCTCTAGTGACTTTAAATAATCATATGACTTACAATTTAGGGCAAGATTTAAACAAACACCAAGGCCACTTGGTCCCGTCCCTTTCCACATGACTCGGCAAAGAGGAAGAGCTGGTGGACAGGCAAATGTTTGGGGAGGCCTGCCAGATGAGGCTGGGAGACAGGACACCTGCAGCCCTGTCTTCCCTGGCTTCGGGTAGGCTGGCTGGCTTAGTCCAGATCCCTGCTTTTAAAACTGGGCTCCTTGTTCCTGAAACCAGACCCCAGCCTTCCCATTTCTTTAAGATAAGTACATGCATATGGTCCCCCAGCAAACTCCCTGCTCCTTGCTGATTTCAGAGGTCACACTGCTCCCAGAGCCCATTTGGGAAGCCACACCAGAAACCCAATTGGTGGCCCAAGGCCCCCCCCCACCCCGCCCCATCCCACCCCAGCTTTCCCAGGGCCCCATCTATCCCCAAAGACAGGACACCTTTCTGGGGGCCAGCATGGGAAGCACAGACCCATGGCTCCTGAGCCGACTTTCCCATTATTTTTCTCATCCCCCAATTCTCTGACAGGTTACCTGAGAAAAAGACCCAATTCTAGTTAAGCTGGTCCCACCCCTAGGCCAGGAGCAGGTGCTGGACAAAGCTGTGCCTTGAATTCCCTGGGGCTCGTAGCTCCTTTGAAGCCAGCTCTGCCTGGGCCCCCACAGGATGACAAGGAGGTGTGTCTGCCCAGGGCCTGTTCTCCCCTTCCTAGCTATGCATGGGTAATGGGGCCCCAGGCTTTGTCACCTAAGCAAAGTTCCCAAGCCCATACCCTGTACTTCCAGCTTCTTGCACCGTAGAACCAAACAGCAACCGCTTGCCTGGGGGTAGAGTCGGGGGCAGCAAGCGACACACATCCATGTCCTGAGCAGGAAGCTCCTGACCTGCTGGACATGGGTGGAGGAGGAAGGGAAGGTGACAGGGTTGGGTGGCTCTCCCTACATGGTCACATCCTGTGAAGAGGACACCAGGAATTCTAAATTCGAACCTGATGCCCCAGAGCTTTAAGAAAATGTTTTTGTCAAAGGAGAAAACCAAACGTTTTATTAGTTTCTTGAACCGATTTATAGTGTCAAAAGTTAGACGCAGGTGCAGGCCTCCATTCCATCTATTGGCTGGCTCTCGACTGCCGAGACTGGCCTGCCAACCTGTGTTTCAGGAGGTCACGCGTCCGCGGCTGAACCGCGGAAGGGCCGGTGAGGAGCTGGGCCTCGGGAGATGGCCCCGGGGGCCCCCGCGCTGCTGCTGCTGCTGCTGCTGCTACTACTGCCGCCCCGCACCGCTGGCTGCCCAGCAGCCTGTCGCTGCTACAGCGCCACAGTGGAGTGCGGCGCCCTGCGGTTGCGTGTCGTCCCGCTGGGAATCCCGCCAGGGACGCAGGTGGGCACTGTGTGGAGCTGCGGGAGGACAGGGTGCCCCCAGGGAGAAGACCCCCGCAGCGGGGTAAGCGCCTCCCCTTTCCCCGGCCTGCAGACACTGTTCCTGCAGGACAACAACATCGCGCGCCTGGAGCCAGGAGCCCTGGCGCCGCTCGCCGCTCTGCGGCGGCTCTACCTGCACAACAACAGCCTGCGCGCCCTGGAGGCCGGCGCCTTCCGCGCGCAGCCGCGCCTGCTGGAGCTGGCGCTCACCAGCAACCGGCTGCGCGCCTTGCGCAGCGGCGCCTTCGCAGGCCTGGCCCAGCTGCGCGTGCTCTACCTGGCGGGCAACCAGCTGGCGCGGCTGCTGGATTTCACCTTCTTGCACCTGCCGGTGAGCGCCTGGGGTCTGAAGGGGCGGGAGACTCCATTATGGCCGCTCGCCCTGTAGGGCAGGAGTAGTTAGAAAAGGCAACGTAGTGTAGCTTGGTAAGAAGGGGGGGCATGCCCCCAACCTCGGCGCCCTTTTTCCTCACGATCTGCTGTCCCTACTTCAGCGACTGCAGGAGCTTCACCTGCAAGAAAACAGCATTGAGCTGCTGGAGGACCAGGCTCTAGCGGGGCTGTCCTCCCTAGCACTGCTGGACCTCAGCAGGAACCAGCTGGGTACCATCAGCCGAGAGGCGCTGCAGCCCCTGGCCAGTCTGCAAGTCCTGCGCCTCACAGGTACCTCTTCCTCGGAAAGTGTCTCTGTCTTGGCCAGGTGGTGGCAGTAGGGAACAGGCTCATGTGTGGAGGGGCTTTGATAGCAGGCAACTGGGCAGCAGTCTGGAGGGCCGCACCACCGCCTGCAGCCACAGTGGAGGGCTGCGGGAATGGGCGTGTTGGGGGATACAGCTCAGGCATCCTGCCTGAGGAAGACAAGACAGGAACCCCACAGGGTGACTTAACAGAGTTGAGGATTCTGTACACTTTTAGGCCCTCAGAGGGGAGGCAAAAATTGCAAAGGAGAGAGACAGCTGATCAGGACTGGGGACATTCCCGAGAGGACATCCAAAGACAAGGCTGAGAGGACTTGTGAGGTTTCAGTGCTGGTGAGATGCCTATGTGGAAGCCCAGGTTCCTAAAAACAGTGGCACTTGTTGCAGGAAGATTTGAGGAGCAGGTGCTTTCTCAGAGACTGACGCAGAAGTGATCTGTAACAGGCATCACAGAGCTAAAGCGGAGGGGGGCGGGGCGGGGGTGAAGGGCTGCTGCCGCCCCAAGGAGCTTGGGGTGAAGGAAGGGGTGGCAGGGGCCTTGGACTCCGTGTGAAAAGGCTGTGGTAGGTGGGAAAGAGGCCCCTGCCCTGGCCCGCAGAACCCCAACTGCACAGGCTGTGTTGTAGCACCATCCTCAAGCCACCTGCCTGATGCTGCTCTCCCACAGAGAACCCATGGCGCTGTGACTGCGCCCTGCACTGGCTGGGTGCCTGGATCAAGGAGGGCGGCCAGCGGCTGCTCACCTCCAGGGACAGGAAGATTATGTGTGCAGAGCCCCCGCGCCTGGCGCTCCAGAGTCTCCTGGACGTATCCCACAGCAGCCTCATCTGCATTCCGCCCTCTGTCCACGTGCAGCCGCTGGAGCTCACAGCCAACCTGGGTGAGGACCTGCGGGTTGCCTGCCAAGCCTCCGGCTACCCGCAGCCATTGGTGACCTGGAGAAAGGTGCCCCAGCCTCGCGAGGGCCGGCCGCAAGCCCAGGCCCAGCTAGAAGGCGGGGCGCCGGGCCTGGGCGGACACTCGGCATCCGACACGGGCAGCGGCATGCTCTTCCTCAGCAACATCACGCTGGCCCATGCCGGCAAGTACGAGTGCGAGGCCTCCAATGCTGGTGGCGCTGCCCGCGTGCCCTTCCGACTCCTGGTCAACGCGTCCCGACAGCAGCCGCAGCAGCCCGCGCAACCGCCACCTCCGGCCGCCCGCCCCGCTGGTCGCGAGCCCCGGCCCGAGGCGGGAAGCATGGCCTTCCGCGCCCTGGGCCTGGCCACGCAGACGGCCATTGCGGCGGCCATCGCGCTGCTGGCGCTCACGGCGCTGCTCCTGGTCGCCATGATCTGTCGCCGGCGCCGCAGGCGAAAAAAGGCGCGGGGGCCACCGGGGGAGGGCGCGCTGTTCGTCAACGACTACTCGGACGGCCCCTGCACGTTCGCACAGCTAGAGGAGCTCCGCGACGAGCGCGGACACGAGATGTTCGTTATCAACCGCTCCAAGCCGCTCTTCGCCGAGGGTCCGGCGGAGGCGCCGGCGGACTGCGGACCAGCAGAGGGGGCGGGGCCGGGACTCCGCGTGCCCCCGCCAGTCGCCTACGAGATCCATTGCTAGGGCGGCGGGCGCGGGCAGATGACGTGGGCGCCGGGGATTGGCCGGCGCGGCCGCGCACATGCTCCGTCAGTAAAGGTGGAAGCCGCGCAGTGTGCGGTGAGCCGTCTGTGGGACGCGCACCGGGAGCGTTGCACTCGGGAATCCTGGGGTAGCAATGGAAGGTGGCCAGGGAGGCCCCAACACCTCCCTTGAAGTTCTTCCAAAAAGACATCACCCCAACCTCCAGCTCTGCAGGGGGGTCCCTCGCTGGCCCTGGCCGGCCACGGTAGGATCTTGGGCCTCCGAAAGGTGGGAAGAGCAAGGACTGGCCAGCAGTGCACACGGGGCCACCCTGCGGGCAGGCTGGATGGCAGTTGTTGCCCAGTGGCCATGCTGGGGATGGTGACAGCAGAGATAAGGATAAGGCTGACCAATGTGGACAGAAAAAAAAAGAGCCATAAATTCAATTTCCAGGCACATTTGTACCTTGATGACCCCCTCCAGCCCGAGCCCAGCCCAGTGGGGTGGCTGGGTGGCAGGGCAGGGAACACGTTAAGAGGCACGAGTGCCTGGGGACCCCAGCCTCCCTGAAGCAGCCTCTGTCCAACTTCAACCCCAGAGCACTGAGCTCTCAGTAAAGGGATGGGAAAGGCTCAGAGAGGCCATCATCTCTCTCAACTCACAAGTGGGATCCCAAAGCATTTGCACAATGGACCAGGACGCCAGAGGGCAGCCAAACTGAGCAGGGCAATGGAGGCCTGACATCCAGCCCTGGGACCCACAGATGGTCAGCCAATCATGGAGCAAGTGCAGGGAAAACCGCGTGGGGCACTGCAGAAAGCAGGGGAGGCTCGAGGTGTGCCCAGAAGCAAGGTGGACCCAGCAGGAAACCAGAAACCAGTGCTTTTGTGACAGGCCTCCACCAGGGTCCCAGCAAAGGCCCTGCCTACCTAAAGAGACTGCAGGACAGCCTGTGTCTCACCCAGAGCTACTTCATCATAGGCTGAAGTAATCTGCAGCCAGTCGCCCGTAGATGTCCGTGGTCCAGAGCACATGGGCACGGCCTGAGGCTAAAAGCAGCTGATGCAACTCCGCTTCTACGCGGGCAAACTTCTCCTCATTGATAGAGGCCTCCAGCAGGACAGAGGCAGGCGGCGGCCAGGGCAAGCCCTCATAGCAGTCCACAGGGAAGGGGTGCACCACAGTACGCAGCTCAGCCTGCGCCACTGAGTCCCGCAACAGCTCCTTGAGGCCCGCCATGGACAGTGGGTTGCCATAGAGGCCAAGGTACCGGAGACTGGTGCACCGAGTCAGGATGGGTAGTGTGGCCAACAGCTGGGTGTCTGCAAGCTGGCACTCAGTCAGCTCCAGATGCAGCAGTGTGGCTGCTGATGCCTGCAGCAGACCCTGGAAGGGTGCCAGCTGGCTGCCAGACAGGTCGTTACCACTCAGGTCCAACTTCTTGAGGTGGGCAGCATGGGGGCTCTGTGCCAGGAAGCGCAGGTCCTCAGGCAACAGAGCACAGAAGGCCAACTCCAGGCTCTCCAGGGGGCTCTGCAGGGTGCTACAGGGGACACAGGGGTCACAGACAGGCAGAGCCAGGGAGGGTCCCTACAGAAGGGAGGGACAGGGCAGTGGTGGGGCCCCCTCACCTGAGCAGCTGGTCCAGCCTCCCTGAAAGGAGAGAGGAGCCCATGCTGAGCTCGCGCAGACAGGTGAAGCGGCCCATCTGGGCAAGGAAGTAGCGGAAGTTGTCCTCGCCATCCACGGAGGGCTGCCTTGAATCCCCATGCACATAGTGGAGCCGCAGGCTGGCCAGGTGCTGGAAGCGAGCCACGTGTGGAATGATTACAGACAGGCCACGCAGGCCCAGGTTGTTGAAGCGCAGGTCCACACGGCGCAGGCAGCCTGCATCCAGAAGCTGCAGCAGGGCCACAGTGTTGCGCATGGGCAGGTCCTCAGCTCGCAGGTCCCGGCAGCAGAGCCGCAGTGGGCTGCCCACGCTGCTTCGGAGTGCCTCCCGCAGGAAGGCATAGGAGGCCCGGTTCACCCGCAGGTCCACACGCACCTCCACGGGGATGGGGGCTGGCCCAGGCTCTGTGGCGCTCCCCTGCTGCTGGGCGATGCATGTGCGAGCCACGGCAGCAGTACAGTCCCACATGCTCATGGTGCCAGGATCCTGTTCCACACCATCATCCAAGAGGCCTGTCATGTCCAGCACCCGCAGCGCATGCTTCCTGGGAGTAGGAATGATCTGAGGAAGGGGTCAAGGGGCAGGGCCCATACCCCCTCCCAGCCAGCTTGGGACAGGAGCAACACGCCTGCTCCTGTATGAGCTCTTGCTAACTTTACCACCCAAGCCTAGAACCTTCTCAGGGGACCCACTTACACACCCCTACCCTGACAACCCTTCAGATAAGTCCATACCTGCAGAGCGGCTGTGTGCTGGCCCCAGGCTCTGGGGTGTGGAGCCGGGCAGTCAGCCCCAGGATAACGGCTTGCATGCTCTCAGTGCTAGGCCGCTCCTGCAGGAGGGCACGGCTGCAGTGGGCACACTCCTGTAGCAGCTGCTGGAAACTGAGCAGCGGGAAGGGCCATGTGTGTACCAACTCGCGCAGTACCACTGTCTTCTTGTCCATGAAGGCCACCTTGAACAGCAGGGGGAAGAGTTCGCGTGGCAGCAGGGGCAGGGCCTGGCAGGCAGCTGGCTGGCACTGCAGCACCTGCCGCGTGCTCAAGAACACAAGCGTGTGCATGGCGCTGGGCGGGGCAGACGGCCACCTGCAGGAGAGGGACTTCAGCAGGGAGGAGAGACCCTAGGCCACTACCAAGCCACACACAGGTGGTAGGAAGGCCCAGCATAGCGCCTGAAACAAAGTCAGCAGTTAGCAGAGGCCACGGCACAGACAAGCACCTATTAGATGCCTAGCGCTGGGCTAGGTGCAGTGAACTGGCAGACAAGGTCACAACTCAGCCCCAGCCCTCCAGAGGCACAGGACTCTTTAGGGAAACCAAGTGTCAAGCAGTGTGACATTGTCGACAACTCGCTTGCTTGGGTGTGCTTTTGACAGATGCCTGTTGCCTTGCAGGGCCCCCCATGGGTACTTCAGGCCTCCCAAATTACAAAGCTGCTTCACAAAACCTTCTTCAAAACCTGAATAAAGTCCAGGCCTCTCCCCACCAACCTTCATCAGCATTAACATTGACGGAACACTCCAAGGAGTCAAGCAGCCAAATCACGTTTCCCTCCCCTCTCCTCACAGAGGCTCTCCAGGGCTACCCTGGGACTCCACAAAACAACAAAGAGCTGGAAGCACAGATGCAGCTTCATAAGCAACAGGGCAGGTTGAAAAGACCGAGACCTAGGGAACACTGAGTCCAGATGATGTAGCCTATGAAATCCAAGCCTTCAATATAAGCACCCCCCAAAAAAACTATTCTCCAGAGTGTCACCAAGCACGGAGACCCCTGAAAGAAAGCAACCTTCACCTTTGGTGGCTCTTACCAGTGGCCTAAAACCTCTCCCTCTTCCCTGGAGAGCCACTGTGGAAAGAACAAGTCTTAAGTATGTGGGATTCGGAAGGTGCAAGGCTACAGATTGCTCAGACAAGGCAAAGAAAGCTGCCTAAGCAGCACCCAAGCTGCCGAGATGCGCGCGAACACTCCCAAGGCCACAAGGTACCTGTGACACAGGGTGCCAGCCCTGCTGCTGACTGCAGCATCCTCAAAACTAAATCGCAGCCATCTCCCTGTGACAGATTAGAAAATGAAGGCCTAGGCCTGGCCCAAGGTCACAGCCTGAGTGACAAGTCAGGGAAGGGGTCTGGGGAGGACACTCTGGCCCCAGGGCCCTTGTTTTTGCCGACTTTTGCACGTACAAATAAGTCCTTAAGGAACCGCTTCCTGAAAAGTCCCAGACACCAACCCTCGGTCTCATTCTGAGATCTCAACGGTCATACCTCGCTCTGACAGGACAGACCAACCGAGCACCTGTCACGGGAGGACACGAAAGCAGACGGCCTGGCCACCAAGGGAGGCAGGCACCTCCGTGCGACGCCCCCGCCCCTCCCGCCGGCCACGGGGAACGCGTCGGCCCTCGGCTGCCTGCGTTTCGAAAAGACGCCCCCGCCCGGCTCCTCTGGGCCTCGAGTCGCGGGAGGCGCTGGTCTCTGCGCTCTTTCTTGTCCCGGGCGGGGCCTGCTCCTCCAAGCCAGGTGCGTCTCCCACCAGGGCCTGACGCAGCTCCGACCGGCCGGGGGACTCCCAGTCCTTCCCGGCCCGCTATGGCACCGCCCGGGCTCCCGGCTTCGGCCCCGGGCTCCCAAATGCAGCTACTGCCTCCCTCAGCCGGGCCGCCCCGAGCGACCGCTGCCACGCCCCTTGCGGCCAGGCAGGGCCAGGGACGTACGCCGCCCCACTCCGACCCCCGCCTGGCCGCCCGCGCTCACCGGTCCCGCAGCCGCAGCCACCGCCTCCGGCCCCGCCTAGACGGTCCGCCGCGCCCCGCACGGCGCCGCGGCGCCCCGCGATGATGTCGGCGCCCCCCATTGGTTGCTTGTCCAGGGCCCGGAGGATTGGCTGCCTAGTCGCGGTGGCCCCGCCCCCGTCCCGCCGCGCGCCCGCATTGGCTGTTGGCCCCATCGTCTGCGGCGCGGGAGATTCGCTGGGCGGCCGCTGGACTGCGCGGAGGCCTGGCGGGCCCGCCATGGAGCGGCTGCGGGATGTGCGCGAGCGGCTGCAAGCGTGGGAACGCGCGTTCCGGCGGCAGCGCGGGCGGCGGCCGAGCCAGGTACGGGATGCCCTGGGGCCGAGGGGCTGAGGGCGCGGCCCGCGGCTGACGCGTTCCCTTTACAGGACGACGTGGAGGCGGCGCCGCAGGAGACCCGCGGTGAGCGCGCGGCGGGGTGGCGGGGTCCCGGGTCGACGGAGGCGGGAGGACGCCGGGTCGGCGGGGGCCCAGGCTCCACCCTGACCCCGCCTCCCGCCCGCCCACGCAGCGCTCTACCGGGAATATCGTACTCTCAAGCGGACCGTGGGCCAGGCCGGCGGCGGGCCCCGCAGCTCCGAGTTGCTCCCCGTGGCCGTCGAAGAGGTATCCAGGCCCCGCCACCCCAGCCTCCTCCCACTTTCCTGTTTGGCGGAGTGGCAGGAGCCACGGAGTCGCGGCCAGGCCTCCGTGGGGCACAGAACTTGGGAGGGGAACTGAGCAAAGTGAAGACGGGCCGGGCCTCGCTCCAGGTGTGAGAGGGGTGGGTGGGAGCGCCTCTGCTTCCACACCAGCCTTTTTCTGGCCTGCGCCCCTACTGTCTCCTGCAGGCACCAGAGTCCCACTGCTGGGGGCCCCACCTGAATCGGGCTGCAACCCACAGTCCACAACATACGCCAGGGCGGAGCTGCCAGGGGTCGGTGCCGGACTACGGGCAGCGGCTCAAGGCCAACCTGAAAGGCACCCTGCAGGTGAGGAGTTAGCAAGCAGTGAGTCCACACTAGGTCCAGAGGTGCTTCTGGCCCGGGGTTCTTTCTTGTCACTCTTTCCACACAGACAGGCACAGGCTCCTGTGCCAACCAGGGCACGAGTCTCCACAGAGTTTCTCGGGGCCTTCGCCCTTGACTCCCTTTCTAGGCCAGCCTTGTGCTAATTAGCCTGCCCTACGATTGAAGGTGGGGACTCAGGCAGGTTTCAGAGTCTACAGAAGTCCAGGGGCCTGAGTTTCTGCTGCCATTCTGTTCCCTTCCCAGGCCGGACCAGCCCTAGGCCGCAGACCCTGGCCTCTAGGAAGATCCTCATCCAAGACGCCCACTCCAAATCCCCCAGGCACAGGGCCTGTCCCCACCTTTGCAGAAAAAGTCAGTGATGAGCCTCCACAGCCCCCTGGGCCCCAGTCAAGGCCAGGCCAGCTGCAGCACCTGCAGGCATCCCTGAGCCAGCAGCTGGCCTCCCTAGATCTTGACTGGTTACAGCGACGTCACAGTGAGATCCCAGACTTTCTGGGGGCCCCCAAAGCCTGCAGGCCTGGCCTAGGCTCAGAGGAATCACAGCTTCTGATCCCGGGTGAGTCAGCTGTCCTTGGTCCTGGTGCTGGCTCCCCGGACCCAGAGGCTTCAGCCCTCCAAGAAGTCAGCATCCGTGCGGGGAGCCCCCAGCCCAGCAGCAGTCGAGGCAAGAAGCAGAGACGGAACAAGGAGCTCTGGGGGAGCCCCGCACAGGTCCAGCAGCAGAGCAGCCAGGCTGGACCCCCATCGGAGGGGGCTGGGGCTGTCGCACTTGAGGAAGACCCTCCAGGGGAACCTGTACAGGCACAGCCACCTCAGCCCTGCAGCAGTTTGTCGACCCCCAGGTACCACAGATTCAGCACCTCCAGTCAAGCTAGGGCGGGGAAGGCTGAGGGCACAGCCCACTTGCACATCTCTAGGCTGGCCCGCCATGACAGGGGCAATTACGTACGGCTCAACATGAAGCAGAAACGCTACGTGCAGGGCCGGGCACTCCGTGGCAGGCTCCTCCGCAAGCAGGTAAGACAGCGATGGACTGGGACAGGCCCTCCCTTTCCCTCCCCTCAGCAGCCCTGCATGTCCCACCCAGTGACCCTCCTATGTGGGCACCCTTCAGGCATGGAAGCAGAAGTGGCAGAAGAAAGGGGAGTGTTTTGGGGGTGGTGGTGCCACAGTCACGATCAAGGAGTCTTGTTTCCTGAATGAACAGTTTGATCACTGGGCACCCCAGTGTCCTCAGCCAGGTGAGACATCTGCCCTGGTGGGTGGGTCTGCCCACCACTGTGGAGAGGGCACGGTACTCTTTTGGACGACACTTCTGTTCCAAGCAAAAGACCTTCCAGGTGCCCCTGGTCCAGGCCCTACCCTGGCTCCCCCAAAGCAGGGTGGCAAGGACGAGGATGGGTGTCAACCTTTTATGCTTTAGAAGAAGTAGCACAGAAGAAGGGCACTGCCTGCTGCCAACCCCTTTGGGGGAAGAGAAGGTTGTGGCCAGTGGTTGTTTTGCTTGGAGCTCCCATTCCACCTTCTCTTGCCTGCCCCAGTAAGTGAGGAAGACACAGACCCTGCTGGCCCTGAGCCGCTGGTTCCTGCACCACAACCTGTGCCTGGGGTGCCCGGCCTGGCCTCCACCATGCTGCCACTCTACCCCTTGGGGCCCTCAGGGCAGCTGGCAGGTAAGCAGTCAGCTGCTGGCCCAGAGCCTTTACCGAGAGGTTGGTGTGACTTAAGTCATGGTGGTCAACACCTGTGTCTGCAGAGACGCCGGCTGAGGTGTTCCAGGCCCTGGAGCAGCTGGGACACCAAGCCTTCCGTCCTGGGCAGGAGCGTGCAGTCATGCGGATCCTGTCTGGTGAGCGTGGCTGCCGGGGCTGAGGCCGGGCTGAGGCCAGGCTGCAGAACCCCGCTGCTGACTCGCGCCCCACACAGGCATCTCCACGCTGCTGGTGCTGCCTACAGGTGCCGGCAAGTCCCTGTGCTACCAGCTCCCGGCGCTGCTCTATGCCCGGCGCAGCCCCTGCCTCACGTTGGTCATCTCTCCCCTGCTGTCACTCATGGACGACCAGGTGTGCACACAGGGCCCTGGGCACATGTACACAGCCAAGAACCAGCACTTGTGACTCCCAAGGGCAACTGCTGCTTCTCCCCTAACCGCCCCCTCCCATGGGAGCTTCAAGGTGTCTGTGGCCTCAGTCCCAGTCCTGGCAGTAGGTCGAAGGCAGCCCAGCTCCACAGGCACCACGGCCACCCCTACAGGAGCTGTGCTGGGAAGGGAGCCCTCCCCACTGAGTCTGTCTGCTGCAGGGCTCCTGGGCCAAGGCCCACAGGTGGCTCTAAACCCTTGGCCCTAGGACCCAGGACCTGGTTCTCCTCTCCCCTGAGGGCCTAGGATGGACATGGCAGCAGCTCTGGGATGACCTGGGGAAGGGCCAGGGCCGGGCTGGCCTATGACGGCCGTTGCTCCTGCATTTGCAGGTGTCTGGCCTGCCACCGTGTCTCAAGGCAGCTTGCATACACTCGGGCATGACCAGGAAGCAACGGGAGTCTGTCCTGCAGAAGGTGGGGGCCTCATGGGCCTAGGGGTGAGGGAGGCAGTGCCTGGGCTGTGCCTCTGATCTTGCTGCCTTCAGGTTCGGGCAGCCCAGGTACACGTGCTGATGCTGACACCCGAGGCACTGGTGGGGGCAGGAGGCCTCTCTCCAGCCACGAAGCTGCCTCCAGTTGCTTTTGCCTGCATTGATGAGGTCCACTGCCTCTCCCAGTGGTCCCACAACTTCCGGCCCTGCTACCTGCGCGTCTGCAGGGTGAGCCATATGTGAACTGGGGTGGGCGGCTAGGGCCAGGATGGGCTGGATGGCCTCACGCCACCACCGCCTCTGGTGCAGGTGCTTCGGGAGCGCATGGGCGTGCACTGCTTCCTGGGTCTCACAGCCACAGCCACACGCCGCACTGCCAGTGACGTGGCACAGCACCTGGCTGTGAATGAAGAGCCTGGCCTCCATGGGCCAGCCCCAGTTCCCGCCAACCTGCACCTTTCCGTGTCCATGGACAGGGACACAGACCAGGTGGGAGTGTGAGCTCTGGGGACCCTGCAGGGCCCTGGCTCCCGACT